GCATCACATCAGGAGGCAGTGAGGTTGTTTTGCCCTGTTGTTGGTGATTTAAAGTTTGATCACTTGGTTAAGATGGTGACCTACCCTTTATCCTGGTTAAGATATTTTCCATTGTAAAGGTATCCATCGTGCTTGAATCAGTTGCTGCACTGAGGTTAGCAGGGTATTAATTTTCTAATTTTTTCATTCCTTTTTGTATATATCAGATGGAATCCTCAGTACGGAACCCAGGTCTTTTTTTTTTTAATTGAAATATAGTTGATTTACAATGTTGTGTTAATTTCTGCTGTACAGCAAAGTGATTCAGATAGATAGATAGATAGATAGATAGATATTCTTTTCTATTATGGTTTATCACAGGATATTGAATATAGTTCCCTGTGCTGTATAGTAGGACATTGTTGTTTATCCATCCTATATATAATAGTTTGCATCTGGTAATCCCAAATTCCCAATCCATCCCTCCCCCACCTCCTCTCCCCCTTGGCAACCACAAATCTGTTCTCTATGTCTGTGTGTCTGTTTCTGTTTCATCCATATGTTCATTTGTGTTGTATTTTAGATTCCACATATAAGTGATATCATATGGTATTTGTCTTTTTCTTTCTGGCTTACTTCGCTTAGTATGATAATCTCTAGGTCCATCTATGTTGCTGCAAATGGCATTATTTTATTCTTTTTTTTATAGCTGAGTAATATTTCATTGTATATATGTACCACATCTACTTTATCCATTCCTCTGTCGATGGACACTTAGGTTGTTTCCGAGTCTTGGCTATTGTAAATAGTGCTGTTATGAACATAGGGGTGCATGTATCTTTTCAAATTATAGCTTTGCCTGGGTATATGTCCAGGAGTGGGATTGCTGGATCATACGGCAACTCTATTTTTAGTTTTTTGAGGAACCTCCACACTGTTTTCCAAAGTGGACGCACCAGTTTGCATTCCCACCAACAGTGTAAGAGGCTGGAACCCAGGTCTCTCTGATGCCAAAGCCCACATGCTCTTTCTGCTAGAGGAGCTACCTCTCTAATGTGTAAACAAATGAAGGTAGTCACCTGAAGCTCCTGGGGAAATAAAGCGTTTTCTTTCCATCTCTTGTTTAGAGTTCCATTTTCTTTTATCTTGGCAAAATGGAACCCCTTCTGTGGCTTTGAAACTTACTTTAAAAAAACCCTAAGACTTGAGCACACACAGAGCTGTTATTTCTAGGGCTCACGTGCGAAGGAGTGTATCTAGAGAGCTGGAGAATGTCCAAATCAGCTTCTCCCTCTCAGCATCACTGATGTTATCCCATCTATCTGGGGGTCCAGGTTACATTTCCTTTTCTTTCTTTTTTTGCAGGGGGTGGGTGGGTGAGTGTTGGAATCAAAATGTCAGTTTGTTTGGGACTTTTGGGGGTTTTTTTTCCAGTGGCAAAGCTGGATTGAAGAGTTTGGTAGAACTTCTATCATTCTTCCCTGTGCCAAGATGGTGAGGGGGAAGGAAGGATCTGCAAAGCAGCCTGCAAAGACCTTGACAAACACCACCTCCACCAAGGATTACAGACTGGCCTTCCAGTAAGTTAGTGCCAAATGGGAGGGAGGGGCCCTGGAGGGGCAGGGACCCTGTGAGCCTCCCTGGCTGCCAGACACTGGGAACAGGAGATGTGGCCGAGCTGAGAGGAAGCCCGGGCCAGGAGCAGAATTACCTTTTCTCTTCTTTGCCGGTAGCTGCCCTTCCTGAAAGTCTCCTTGCGTTAATGAAATCAGTGTGGAAAGATTTCCTACAGCAGGGAAAACACACAGAGAAATCCCTAGTTCTCCCTCTGTCCCTTCTTTTGTTATAATAGGTGGCGATGACTTTCCTAATCACTAGTAAATTCAGGTTTACAGGTCACAGTGACAGAGTCAGGGTTAGTGTTACAGTGTCACAAACACCGAAAAATCGCCCCCCCAGATTAAAACAAAACATATTCCCTTTGTTTGACATCTTTGTACTGTTTAACATGAGTATTTCAACAGTCTTTATTTTCCAAACATGCAAACGGGAGAGAGTGATCTGACCCGCAGTATATTGACATACCATGTAACTATAACCTTGAGATAAAAAGTAAAGGAAAAAGTCAAAACAGCTCAAACCAAATACTAACACAAACACGTCTTTCTTCAGTCCAGAAGGCTTGCCTCTGTAACAAGGGAACACACTGACATTAGTACACACTGACCGTGGTGCCCACGCACAGATCCAGATGGCTAACCCATGGGGCCCCAAATGCGAAGCTGGGAAGTTGCATGTATTCGTTAATTTGACAAATGTATACTAAGTATCTACTTTGGGCTAGACATGTTTCTAGGTGTTGGAGATGTCATACATCAAGGGGATTTATAAGACGTACAAGCCCTCTGCTCTCGTGGAACTTACCTAGTGGCATTGGGGAAAAAAAAATATCAGAGACTACACTCCCACAATGTTAAGAGGAGATGGAAAATAACAACTATAGCAGAAAGCCTGAGCTGGTTTCCTGAATTCTGTATATCCAGGAATGCAAATTCTTCAAAATCTGGGTCACACTGTGGAAAGGTGATTAAAGACAATAAGACAGAGAGAAAATGGCGGAGAGTCAGAGAGAAGCTTCACTCCTCACCGTACATGGGAGGGTCCTTTGGGAGCTTTTACCAGCTTTTACCAAACCTAATGTCTGTAAGACGACAGATAAGAGAAACAGTGAAGACTGTGCCTTTGTCCCATACTGAAAGAACTCCAAAGATGCAATGTCCCAACGAAATAACACGTAGCTTCCCAAGCATCTTTGCTATTCGGAGCCCAGCGCTAAGGATTTTACATGTATTGGCTCATTTAATGCTAACAATCACCACCTGGTGACATAAAGACAAACTTTATTCCCATCTCCCATATAAAGAAACAGCCCTAGAAAAGCTAAGCAACTTGCCTTTGCCCAAGGACACATACCTGGTAGAGAATGGAACCAGAACAGGATCCTAGCTGTGTGTGACTCGAAAATCCGTGTTCTAAAATTAGATCTAAATTATTAAATCTAAAATTATTTTTCCTTATTTTATTTAAGGGGAAAAAAAGGTATTAATATTGCATAGAAATTTTTTTAACATCTTTATTGGAGTATAATTGCTTTACAATAGTATGTTAGTTTCAGCTTCACAACAAAATGAATCAGTTATATATATACATATGTTCCCATATCTCTTCCCACTTGCATCTCCCTCCCTCCCACCCTCCCTATCCCACCCCTCCAGGTGGTCACAAAGCACCGAGCTTATCTCCCTGTGCTATGTGGCTGCTTCCCACTAGCTATCTACCTTACGTTTGGTAGTGTATATATGTCCATGCCGCTCTCTTGCTTTGTCACAGTTTACCCTTCCCCCTCCCCATATCCTCAAGTCCCTTCTCTAGTAAGTCTGTGTCTTTATTCCTGTTTCACCCCTAGGTTCTTCATGACATTTTTTTCCTTAAATTCCATATATAGGTGTTAGCATATGGTATTTGTCTTTCTCTTTCTGACTTACTTCACTCTGTATGACAGACTCTAGATCTATCCACCTCATTACAAATAGCTCAATTTCGTTTCTTTTTATGGCTGAGTAATATTCCATTGTATATATGTGCCACATCTTCTTTATCCATTCATCCGACGATGGGCACTTAGGTTGTTTCCATCTCCGGGCTATTGTAAATAGAGCTGCAATGAACATTTTGGTACATGATTCTTTTTGAATTATGGTTTTCTCAGGGTATATGCCCAGTAGTGGGATTGCTGGGTCATATGGTAGTTCTATTTGTAGTTTTTTAAGGAACCTCCATACTGTTCTTCACAGTGGCTGTATCAATTTACATTCCCACCAACAGTGTAAGAGGGTTCCCTTTTCTCCACACCCTCTCCAGCATTTATTGTTTCTAGATTTTTTGATGATGGCCATTCTGACTGGTGTGAGATGATATCTCATTGTAGTTTTGATTTGCATTTCTCTAATGATTAGCGATGTTGAGCATTCTTTCATGTGTTTGTTGGCAGTCTGTATATCTTGCATAGAAATTTAATCAGATCGCTTCAGAAAGTTGTCTGTGTTTTCCAGATGTTATCTTGGAAGGACAGTCAAACATGTCCTCTGAGTCAAAAGCAAATACACACCACTTTCTCAAATGCGTGAGAAACTAAGAGATGAACTTTTGCGATTGCTTCAGTGTACGTGAGCCCACCATCTAAATTTTGAATTACGATTCTAGAATGGAGATCAGTATTTTAGTCGACTAATGAATTATTCCTCAAAGTTTATTTTACAACTGCATACATTTCCATGTTTCCCCTTTACTCGATAATTGAATTAATAATAAATTAACTGAGCTGAAGCTGGTTTAGTGAAAACGATGCAGAAGTCCATAATGAAGCTTGTGCCTATTTGGGGATAAATCCGTATCAAAAATTTTAAAATAATTGTAGTAGAATTGAACTTTGAAGCGGGGGAGAGGTCTTGTTTTTGCTTTAAGTCATTGAAATTAAATGTAATGAAAAGTGATCAGAGTGCTTATTTTTACTTTGTTTTGTGGGAAATTGTGCTGGGAATGTAGGTCTATTGTGCACAAAGGATGTTGGCTTTATGCTGGAACCACCAGGCAGGTTGAGTTGAGGAACAATTAGCTCAGTCAGCAAGCCTTTGAATCTGATTAAGCCAGGAAGTGGTCACTCCCCAAGACAGAGCAGAATGAAGGGAATGAAGGCGGTAGCCCAACACGAGGAATGATTTCTCTCTCTGAGAAAAACTAGTATTAGAATTTATTGTGTCAAATTTATGTCAAGGATTATATCACTACATTTTATTATTATTTCACTGAAAACAAGTATAATCTTGTTTCCAAGTAGATCAACAGTCCACATGTGTCATGGCTACTGTCTCTAAGAAACTTCTGTTTATTGAGGCTTGACATACTCTCATGTTTTGGTAACAAAACATCTTTGAGACCTAGGACCCAAGTCACAGAGGAAAATGCAAGGCTTATACAAGACTGCTGGCCGGATTCTCATTACTCTGGGGGCTCTCAGTGTATTCTCTGGAGTTATTGCTTTCTTCCCAGTCTTTTCCTACAAGCTTTGGTTCACAGGATGGAGTGTCTGGATTGCTTGTCCCATCTGGAATGGAGCTTTGGTAAGAAAATATTTTTATTACATATGTTGAGAAAATAAAGGAAAGAGGGAGGGAAGGAGGGACCAGAATAACATGTCCCTTTAAAGTTTTCCAACAATATGAAGACATCAAAATTCTACAGAAAATCAGATTTTACCTTAGAACATTGATTTCTATTAGTTATCTATTAAATATAAGGTTTTCTTAATATCATTTAATCATATCTACAACATATCAGGTATACTATAGTGAAAATGCTGTTCGAGAAATTCTTCAAAAATTCTTTTATTTTAATCTTCTTTACCTGGACGTTCTGAGAAATCGGAATCTATCTTTCGAAATTTGAATGTAGAAAAAAATATGAACCATGAAAAATAATTTTCAAATGAAGAACAAAGTAAAATAATTTTCAGACAAATGCTTTTATTAGAAACACCGAGGTGTGTTTATGTGACCGAAAGGTTTACAAGCCCCAAATCCTAGTTCTCCCATCTTTTTCTTTGAACACAGCTGCTTCAACTGAAAATAATTAAAGAAGTTGAGTGATGGGCTTTACTAACTTCACTTGTTGCCAAATTTGCATGTGTCAAATACAGGTGGGTACTAAGTAACTGCTCAATGTCTGCCCATTGAATGGTCACCACAGGTGAATGATGACACTGGTACCTCAGCTCCCCGGGTCAAAGAAACCAATACATGTAGTCTTGGGAGTAGGTGGCTGCCATGGAGGCATGATCGAAGAGGGGTTACAAAGGCCCAAACATCCAACAAATCCTTCTCTCGTTGTTTCCTGGGATGCCTGACATTCACTATTGGAGACTAGACAATCTGATTTTGAAGCTTTTTGATCGTATGGAGTTTTCTCTTAAAATGTAGCCACTCTCAGGAGGGGCAATATTTTACGTTTTTAAAAAAATCAAACTTAACAGAGATATCATCTAAAAGCAAGACCCTAGGAAATATAATTTTAATTTACTTAATAAATAAATATGTATTGGTAGCCTACTACATGCTTGAGTTACAATGGAGAATAAAACAAGATCTCGATATTAAAGGAATTTGGTCTAGTGGGGTTTAATTATGGTGTGCAGATGGAGGAAAGCGGGATGGTGGGAGCATGGAACTGAACATGGAAACGATTTGATGGTACTTTTCTTTTTTTTATTTATGTTTTCTTTTACACCACCACCCAAGTCTTGAACTTTTCCTCTTTCCCCCAACAACTACCCCAAACCACACATTCAAGGAAGTGTTTATTAAACATCTACTAGAATGCAGGGATGGCATTTATATAAATGACTACCAAACTTTTTTGTCAGTGACCAAGAGTAAGAAAAATATTTGACATCAGGACCTGGAATGTACATAAATACATCTATATATTTCTCTCAAGGTAAAAAGAGAGATACTGAAATATACATGTAACTAGATTTACATAACATATGTCTCACAAAAGAATACTTAACGTTCTATGTGAAGTGAATTCTGATATTTTCTATTCTAGTTAACTTTGTAAAAATTCTGACTTTACAACTGGCCCAAACTTTAACAAAACCATGGTTATAGCTCAATCCTGTGTCCCTTTCTTATAATTCTTTGCCTATCCCTGCAGGGTCTACCATAATATAGTCAACAGATATTGGTGATCTGATCAGGTTCACAGATTACTGAATATATGCTTATACTACACCAAACATCTGCTTGACCAATCAGACCCAGAGAAATGACATGACAAATCTCTAGCACATAGCTAATTGGTGACTTTTTGATTTCTTTGAGAGCGACAGCATGGGGAAGTAGAGTCAGAGAGTTAGGATTTGGAGAGGTGGGGCCTCTGTTCAAATCCTGACTTTAACATTCTTGGTATGTAGTCAAGAGCAGGGCCCTCATTCAACCAATTCCTCATTGTCTTTACCTGTAGAATGGGGAATTTCACAGGTAAAGAGAGCCCATGTGAAACTGTCTAACCATAAGAGGCTCAAAGAGAATGAACACAATTTGCTCAGAGACTGCATAATAAAAAGCTTTGCCAATTTTAAAGCCCTACACAAATGCTAGTTAATACGATGCCTTTCATTTATGCCCTACTCTCTGTCCAAACCCTTTGTTCCTAATCCCTTGTCACCTGCCTCACTCTCCCATTCTGTTCCCTGACGACCTGCTGAGTTCCCTATCGTGTTACATCCTGACCTCATCTCCAACCATTCTTCCCTTAGCTCTTTTCTTTCCCATCACACTGGCTCCTTGTTTTCAAACATGGCCAGGTATGTTTCTGTCTCAGGGCCTTTGCACTGCCAGTCTCTGCCTGAAGCCTTTTCTCACATACAGCTTGTTCCCTAACTTTCTTCAATTCTTGGATCAAATGTCACTTTCTCACTGATGCCTTCCCTCATTACCCTATTTAAAATTGCAGACCTCCCCTGCAAATGGCATTCTCAATCTCTCATCCCCTACTCTACTTTTCCCCCCATAACACCATCTAATATACAACATAATTGACTGACTTATTATCTGTTTGTTTGTCCTTTTCCCCCAAATGTAGATTGTACAAAGGCAGGATTTTTTTTTTCTTCTGTTTTGTTCATCGGTATATCTCCAGCACTTGAAAGGGAGTAAGTGACATGCTAGGTATTCGTGCTAAATATTGCTTGATACATAATGTCGAATGAGTGGTGAATGCCACGCTCTCCATTCTGACAGTACAGAATTCCTTATACAGTTGAGCTCTAATTAGGTGGCAAAGAATAAAGGTCAAGCTGGTATTTACACTAAAGCAGGAAAAAATCCTCACCAAAAGGAAAGCAATAAGAATGCTCCCTCTTTCAATAATGTCTAAATTTGGAACGACATGATTATTTTCCTAGTGAGTTTGGTAGTGAACCACAGCTCTGTCTGATTAGGGTCAACTTTAAAGGTCTCTGACCCAGCCCACAACCTTCCCTGCCAATCACTTCTCAACTTGCCTGCAAAGTGTATCTTCCTCTGGTAGAAAGATAATATGTACATTTCAAACATACTTCCTTTTGAAAATGACTCCATATCTCTTTTGAGATTGGAAGCGATAGATTTTAGAAGTGACCCATACTTTGTGTTTGTTCGGTGCCTTTCTTTCAAAGCTTTTTCTAAATTCCTCACAAATATTCCTCCTCAGACTCTCCTAGCTCAATTCTTACAGCCACATGATAAGCTGTTTTCCTAGAAATCTGAACCAGGTTATTGAAAGTCATCAGCTGCTAGAAAGTATGTAGCAAGGAGATCATTGAGCCTTAAGGACTGAGCTCTACTTTAATCCTGGAAAACCTGGCCTGTAGATCAAGTTCTGATGAACAGACTGAAGTGCACTGAGTTTAAAAACAGGGCCTAAAGTCTGTAGGTTCCAGGGACTTGGCCAACGGTGAGCAGCAGCGCTGCACCCAGAACCCTGCTTGGAGACAGGAACTTCGGAGAAAGGTAGGCCTGGACTCACCCATGCAAGCTCCAGTTTCCTCGTTCATTAGAGAAGGGACTTGATTGCACCAATGCTCAAGTCTCTTATAGCATCAACAGTCCTGTGATTTCCAAACAGCTGATGGACCATTTTCCACTTAGATATCCTAAGCTTCTTGAAGCTTAACTGGTCCAAAAATGTAATCATCTTACCACCAAAAGCAATTATGCCTTCTCCTGACTTCCCAGTCTTTGAACCCAATTTCAAACCCTGGAGTGACATTTGACTCAATCCTTTCCTCTAAACTAGTGTTTCTCAAACTGAAATGTGCATGTAAATCACCTGGAGATCTTAAAATGCAGGCTCTGATTCAGTGAGTCTAGGGTGAAGCTGAGGTTCTGCATGTCTGACAGGTTCCCAAGGGAGGAGATGCTACTGGTCCTTAGGACAGTGCTTAGGGCAGCAATTCCTAAAACCAGCCCATTTCAGCCCCACTCCCGCCCCACCACATCCAATCCATTGCCAACTTTTATTTTTCCTACGAGGCAAATCCCTATGCATTTTTCCTTCCTTGTTCTCACTATGCAACCCCTGCCCACCTCCTTACCACTTCCTGCCCCACTCAGGTTTTATGCCTTGAAACTTTTAGAACCAACCTGTGGGAATCTATACATTAATGGGTTATAAAATCAACCTGTTGGGTAGCTAGCATTTAACCATATAGAATATGAATAGAATAGAACAGAATAGGATGGGACAGAATGGAATGGAATATAATAGAGAATTCTACAGTGTATCACACATAATAAAGTTATTGTTATTTTGGTTAGATGTAAAAATATTTGTAACTTGGCCGTGTTACAAAATATATTTCTTACTATGGGTAAAGGTTAAAAAAAAAAAAAAGCTTGAAGACCAAGGTCCTATAGAGACCTCTAGGCCAATGCAGCAAGCATGCAATAACAGGCCCATCTTTCTAAACCTCTGCTGTACCGGTCTAACCCCGTCTTCAAAAATCTTTAGTGTTGCTTCATTGTCCAAACCAAGTTCAGACATATTAGCCTGGATTTTGAGGCCCTCCACATCCTGACCTCACGTGGCTTTCAAGCCTGATTTCCTACTCCTCTCTGCCAGGAACCAACCCTCCCACGGGCTGCTACCCTGGCTGCCCGGACTGCCCTTCCCTCTGCATCTCTCACTGATGTCACATCCATCCTTCAAGCCTGCTTTGAGTCATATTTCCCCCACAGTGCCTTCATTCCTTTCACACCTGGACTATAGATTCCGTTGAGAGTTGGAGCCATTATTTGTATAATTATTGCTTGGTGAGCTTGCTTATCTTATTCAGCTTCTCTGTGCCTCATTTTAAAAATAGGAGACGATCTACATCCTAGGGTCATTCATTATGAAGATTAAATGAATTAACACATGTAAAGCATTTGGTAGAGTGCCCAGCATAGAATAAGTGCTCAATAAATGTTAAACATTATTACCATTATTCCATCGGCATAGTGCCTGTCACATCCCTTGTTCCCAGTAGACCCAAAATAGATGTCCGTAAGTGAATAAATTAGCCCATGTTATAATGATTTCTCTAAAAGTTTCTATTTCTGTTGTGAAGCTCTCTGCTTCCTTCAATTCATCTGCTTCTGGGAACTGCATCCTTACTGGGGCCGTTTAAAGATTTAGTGCGAGGGGTCACAATTAGCATGCAGAATGTTAGCAGCAACTTTTGCAAAACCCAAGTAATGTCCTTGGAACTGTCCCCACAGAGCAAGTCCACAGCCTGTCAAGAAGAGCTGAGGGTGGAGAGTGCAGGGCTGGGCCTCCAGCTGCACTCCCACCCTCCCCAGGCATGGCCTCCTTTCCACCCTTCCTCACAACCTGACCGCCCCTCTCTACCCAACTCTTCACCTCTCAGACCCTCCCACATTTCCTTTACCCACTTGACTTCTCTTCCCTCAGATCTCTTCCTTTTTTAAAAAATTTTTTGGCTGCATGGCACAGCATGTGGGATCTTAGTTCCCCGACCAGGGATCAAACCCATGGCCCCTGCACTGGAAGCGCAGAGCCTTAACCATTGGACCACCAGACAAGTCCCAAATCTCTTCCTTTTTTATTCTATTCCCCTTCCCTGTCTAAAAATAAATTTTTTAAAACAATGAAAAGAAGAAAAAGGAAAGCCTGTGACTCTTGGGGGAATACCCGCACTCCATCTCCCACGCACGGCCGGGCACCAGGAAAGATGGGTGTGCTTGGCTCCTTAGCCACAGTCCTCAGGGTGGATTTAACAAGTTACTGAACGGCATGCATACACCAGCTTCCCCCATGAAAGATCTTTTTCAAAGTTTTGTGTAAACAAAGCAAAATTGAAGCTGGCAGCTACAACAGAAATAACAGGCAACTGCAATTCTGCAGGATTTTTCAACTTTTGAAAGGAAAGACACAGTTTGTGCCAAACTAGTTAAGGCAACCTGGACTCTAAGCATCTGATAATGTCAGCTATCTACTTGGACTTCAACCAGCAGAGACGTCTCCTTTGCTTTTTATCTCGTTTGCTTTAGTGTTTCTCTCACACAGAGGAGTGACGTGTCAATTGAGCGCTTTGCCTCTGAAAGCAGAGACTAGCCCCAGGCTTAGCATCAGTGCTACAGTTGCTGTTAATAATTCTCCTGTTTTGTTGTACTGTTTATGCTGGCTCAACCTCCATAGGGTCCCTTGGAAACTCTCCTCTTGCAGAATCAAGCCAACCTCTTTTGATTGCAGATGGTTCTGTTTTTATCCATGGGAGTTTTATGGTATGGCGATGCCAAAGTCTGGAATGTCAGGCTTAGCTACATGAGTTTTGTGTGAGTGTACATGTGCGTGCTTTTTTCCCCTCGCTCTCAGATTCTCTAAATCCAATATTCAAAATAGAATATGCCAGGAAAATGAAAAGCTAATTCTCAAAACAATAAATATGCCAGACCTGGAGCTACAAAAAGCAACATCCCACAAAACCATATTGGTAAAAGCTCCGATTTTTTTCCCCTGTTGATACTATACATACAGTCATGTTTATTTCTCTGTCAAAACCCTAAATTGTAACTCTTTTAAACCTGTCCTCATTCTATATCTTACTTCAGGCACATCTCTTCCTGGTTTTCTCTCCCAACCTCAAAACATTCCTTGACCAGGAACAAATGATTTATGGGGTTGGGAATAAGCAATTTCCAGACTCTGGTTACATAGGTCTCCATCAGACCCGGTGCCGAAGCGAAGATGAGCCCAGAATTTTTTTCTCATTATCTATTGCTCAGTTCTGGTGACACCATTCCCTCCTTTGTGGAACTATTTTCATTCTGCATTTGGGGGCTTTTTCTTCAACGAGACTATGAAGAACTCTCTTTTGAAAAGCTGGACACCACTGCCCCCAGAACAATAAATGCCCCATCATGCATTCATTCTAATGATAATCTTTGTTATTTGAGAGACAGGGATCACCGGCAGGCTGAGGCCGCAGAATCTCAAAAAAAGCAAAGAGTAAAAGATATACCGCTGCCGGGAGGGTTTGAAGGTGGGTGCGGTTCTGTGACACGTTTCCTTTTCAGTTCCTCCCATTTGTAAATTTAGCAATTTGGAAAAAGATGAACAATAGACAATTAATCAAAATAAAACATACGGCAAGGGTTTTAAAGCCAAGCTTTCGTTGCAATGACATCTTAACAGTAGTAAAGGTTATAATTGTGCAACACAGAAAATCAAAAAAACAGTAGTAAAGGTTATAATTGTGCAACACAGAAAATCAAAAAAATGAGCTTGTGTGAATCATGTCTCTGTGACACTGATGGCTTCTTTTCCTCATTGTGACACTGATGGCTTCTTTTCCTCATTGTCATCACGGATGAGGAGTTGATCAGAGCCATAAATCCATTTAGCCATTTGCTATTCCTTCTGGTTTATGATAAAGTTGTCAAACCGTGAAGCAAACTGAACTCTTTCCAGAGGTACCTTCTCTCACGGGATGTTGTTTTTCCATTTTCCTTTCACAGGCCATCATGACTGGTACACTCCTACTGTTGGCTCACAAAGAGTGGACCCAGAGACACCTGGTAAATGTATAGACATCGAGTAGGTTGGCAGAGAAAGCTTGAAGGTCAAATCTCTACTAGTTCAGGATGGAACACAGAGAATGATTTCTGATTATAATTAAATCCTATCTAATAGATGCCTTACTATGATGGATTTCAGTCATAAACGATGTTTTAAATGCATAATTTTTATCTGATACCTGCTCCAAACATTTTCTACCAGTTCCTGTGATTATTGTATTTAAGTAGTGTAGTTTGGGAAGGACAGGATCAGTGTTAGTCTTCCTGAATTTCATTCTGAAAAAGTGCATCTATAGGATCCTCTGTTTTTAATCATGTATTTTCAAGTCTCAATTCCTCAATTTGGTATCTCCTTCCAATCTCCCTGTTACCTCTTCCCCTAAAAAAGGATGAAAAGGGGCTTCCCTGGTGGCGCAGTGGTTGAGAGTTCGCCTGCCGATACAGGGGACACAGGTTCGTGCCCCGGTCCGGGAACATCCCACATGCTGCGGAGCGGCTGGGCCGCTGAGCCATGGCCGCTGTGCCATGGCCGCTGAGCCTGCGCATCCAGAGGCTGTGCTCCGCAACGGAGAGGCCACAACAGTGAGAGGCCCGCGTACCACGAAAAAAAAAAAGAAAAAAAAAAAGGATGAAAAGTCTGTGACTGTGATATCTTGCATTTCAACAGTATAGAGCCAAGTAAATCCCAAGATACAGAAAGACTACCTTGATTTGATTATAGCTCCTCTTCCCATGGCTACAGCAGGGCTTCTCAAACTTTAATATATGTGTGAATCACCTGCGGATCTGGTTAAAATGAAGATTTTGATTCAGTAGATCTGAGTGAGGCCTGAGATTCTACATCTCTAATAAGTTCCCAGGGGATATTTAGTGCTCCTGGACCATAGACCACACTCTGAATAACAAGGTCCTAGGGTAAGGCAGGGATTCTGTTCACTCATCTTTGTTTTCCCACCCGGACTGGTTCTCAACACATGATAGGAGGTAAGTAAATAAATGTGTTGAGTGGAGTTGATTTCATTTTTGCTCCAGTGGGTTGATACGTTATTCTCCCATAGTGAAAGTTCAAGAGGAAGGCAAAAGGGCCTAAAGAGACGGTTGTAACCCATTTCTCCTTCATTTCCCAGTAGGAAAGATTAATAGCCAGCATCTCTTCCTTTCCACATATTGCTAAGAAGCTTCTGAAAAATCTAGTTCCCAAAGTAACAATTTGTTTCTACTTTATTTTCAGTGGGAAGCTAGTTTCACCTTTGTGATTCTGAGCATCCTGGGATGTCCACTTCATTTTACTGTAGCCTTGGCATCTGCTCTCCTTGGCCCGTATTGCTTCTACTCGTTTTGGGGGATTGCAGGGACCAATTACCTTGGTTATGCAGTTGCCTTTCCTTTTCCATATGCAAAATTTCCATCACTTTGTGTAGACCCACCACACTATGAAGAGTACCACCTGACACTTCAAGTCTTAGACCTGTGCCTGAGCTTTGCCATGCTCTGTGTGTCCCTGACAGCATTCATCACACTTTCTGCAAGACTTCTCCGGAATGGACATATAAATGTAAGTTTCCAGAAAGGGGGAGCCAGTTCCTGTTCCATCCTAAATGCTAAAGTGGAAAGTTTGGTATATTAATACTTAATCTGTCTCTCTTTTTTACCCCTGTATCTTGTATAACCAAAATTCTCCCCCTCTTTCTACTTCAACTCCAGCTAAGAGGCTGATATATAATACATCAACATCAGATTTAGCTTTCTAACGTTTTCCGAAAGGGCTGATAATAATTTTAATATGATAATAATAGAATTATGAACTGAATATTTAGTATGTGTCGGTGTTCTTCCCATTTCACAGATAGTAAACAGAGGCTAAAGAGTTTGTATAACTTGCCCAAGGTCACACAGCTTAATGACTAGTAGGACCAGATTCAGAACCCAGAGCTGTTTCTCTTCATCAGGCCAGATTTGTCCTGGGCTCCCTCATCGCCCTCCTTGCATCCTCTGCTCCTCTGCCAGACCATTAAGATGCAAGGCTCTGGCCTCCAGGAAGGTTAGAGCGGGGTCACTGGGAAAACAGCACAAGTGATTTCTGATTCCAAATTCCTACAGTTGATACTGGGTCCCTCCTCTGTGGGTTGAACAACCTCCCTCTGAAAAGAGGTATTTCTCACTGCAAACTCTTATACTGGCTTTATGATTCAAGTTAGGATTATATCAGGGTCAAGTGAATTTGGGTTATGTTAGCCAATTTTTTTCCAGTTTCATCCTATCAGCACCAACCAGTAAAGCTGGAAGACAAGAATTTGACACTCTCAATGCTTTTTGTGGTCAGTCTTGTCCTCTTCAACTTCTCCATAAATCTGCAAAGGAAATCCTGTACATTCTTAGGAACGGAGTTGATTTTACAAGGAACTTGCCGAGGAACAAGGCAAGCAGACCAAAATCACCGCCCCCACTGTACTGCCAGGGCACGTAGAAGTTTAGTATTTGAGAATTCTCCCTTGTGGCAAATGTCCTAACTTTCTAGACTATTTACTAAGGAACATATGCATAGGAGAACCACACATTAACAGTTGACAGTCATAACCCCTTAGCATGCATAGCTAATCAGACATCTGGCTGTCATTTTAAGCATGACCCTCACAACACTGAGGTTTAATGTAGGGTGGAGAATAGGGAGAAAAGAATGAAAAAAATATACGCCGAGCTTGGTAAGCCAACAGCTCCTTACCATGGAAACCCAACAGTGAGACCACCTAAAGTGCCTGGAGAGAGAGAAAATTAATTGAAAGCAGAGCAAAGTTCTGTGACTTCAGGGCTTTGCCTTTGCCCATCTTGCTCAGAACAGTTTCTTGCTGTGTGGTTTCTGAGCTACGTGTGGGACCCAATGCAACTACAACACGTTCCTCAAAGGGAATCCATGACATGAGAAGCGCCCAGGGTTTTTGTGAAACTCGATTTCACAAAATGGACCTTCCAGGTCCATTCCCACTATGTCAGAAATTCTGGGGTTGGAGGCAGGGAACATGCGTTTTTAACACATGCCCCCAAGAGATCCTGATGAAAATTCTCTTCCTAGCACACAATGCACTAAGTATCAATTCTGGACAGAATCTCAGTTTTCCCATTTGCATAAAATGCAGCACTAGTTTGGGTGGGAGTTCTAGATCAATTTAATAAGCACGTCTTTGGTGAACATTCTTGGATGACTTGACACCACTTAATCCATAGGGGTGGCAGATCACGTTTCGTTAGCGAGGATGAGTGGCTGACATAATGGGATATGATGTCCTGTATTAATAAATATACCACTGTTGCGCCAAGACCAAAAGGAGCTCATGAAGCCTGAACAAACCTTTGTTACCATGCAGAAATCTCAGCTACATTAGGCACAATTTCTAGCAGTGAAATAAATGCATTGTTTATCAAAATTCTAGAAAACACATAACTTTCCTAGAAAAAAAGGTGGATCGTTTGCTGGGGTACAGAATTCTACATAGTGATTCTGCTTTTAATGAACCTCTGTGTAGTTATGTTGTTAGATTCCCTACAGTGCTGAAAGGGATAAGTAATATTTTTTAATTTTTATTTAAAACTATTAATAAACACTGTGAAATATGCTGCTGATTCACACTTTTTTCATATAAACAGAACACTGACAATATTTTTAAAACCTGCCCACTTTTAAGTGTCTGCCTGAAAAGTAAAATTCTTTTATGTAAATATAGTACATAGCAGGAAACTCAAGAGCTATGAAAATTTGTAAAAAAGAAAAAAGTGATGGTTTGAAGGAGGATTTGGGTAAAATTGCGGCTGTACTGTAAAACAAAATCAATTTTTTCAGATCTATGTGTAACAGTCAATATTATGATGAAAAATATTCCCTCGTAAGGGTTTGTTCGTGCAAGTTTAAAAACATGTTTTCAAAAATGAATCAAGCACCCCTTTAGGAACCACCACGTTCATTATTTCTTCCTTCCTGTGCCTTTTTAGTTTAGTAGAATTGAAGTCATCTTGTGTCCCAGTCAGCTCAAGCTGCTATTAAAAAATGCTGTAGATTGGGTGGCTCAACCAACACATATTTATTTCTCACAGTTCCAGAGACTGGAAGTCCAAGATCAAAGTGCCAGCATGGTTGGTTTTTGGTGAGGCCTATCTTCCTGGCTTGTGGATGGCTGCCTGCTCACTGTGTGCTCTCAAGGTCTTTCCTGGGCTTGCTCCTAGAGAGAGGAGCAATCTCTCTGTCTCCTATATTTTACAGACACTAATCTCATCATGGGGACCCCACACTTATGACCTCATCTAAACTTAATTACCTCCCAAATGACTTACTTCCAATTCCCATCACAGTGGGGATTGGGATTTCAACATATGGATTTAGGAGGGGACATAAACAGTTGATTGCATCTTACTGAAGGTAACACAGTGACAGTGTATGAGCATGCAGTCAACTGGTACCCAACTAAAACCAGAGGTCTAATGCTTGAAAGAGGCATGAAGGGTTTGATGATTTTGACAAACACTCACAAAAGCATGGTGTGAGTGCTACAGACTGAATGTTTGTGTCACCCCCAAAATCTACACTGAAGCACTAACCCCCACTGTGATGGTGGTAATTAGACTTGGATGAGGTCATGAGGGCAGAGCTCCCGTGATGGGGTTAGTGCCCTTATAAGAAAATGAAGAGACCAGCGTGCTCTGTCTCTCTCCACCGTGATAGTATACAGCAAGAAGGGGACCGTTTACAAACTAGGAAGTGGGCTCCCACCAGACACTGAATCTTCTGACACCTTGATCTTGGACTTCCAGCCTCCAGAACTGTGAGAAATGTCTGTTGTTTAAGCCATCCAGTCTACGGTAGTGTGCTATAGCAGCCCAGGCTGACTAAGACAGTGAGTCCTTCCAAATTTCAAGGGCCTCATGGGAAGGGGTGGAGCCGGGAGAGGACTAAGAGACCCCTGTTTGTGTGGTTCCATGCAACACACTGAAGTGACCCTGTGGGCTTAGGACTCAGTGCAGAGGGCAAATGAGCACCACACAGAATTAAGTTGAAAAACTAAAATGCATAACAACCGTAGCTGAAATTGTCTACATTCTTGGTCCAGTAAGTAATAAAGTGATGAGAAAGGAAAGAATTGGGACGCCAGACGCACTGCAGCTGTCCCCTGCAGCTACTCTGCCCCTCCTCCATGGAATGGAATGGCTTCGTTTGTTTTCCTTTCATTATTCATTGTTATGTTTGGGGTTGGTTTTTTTTAATGAAAGGGGGAAAGAAAATATTTTCTCCTTCTCATGTGATACAATGGTTTTATTTTTTTTTTCAATGAACTGAGAAATATTTGCCATAAAAGATGTAGGTAAACCCTCTAAATGCAGTTTAAAACATGGGGACAGATTATTTATCAGTGGAGGACAAACAAAAGGCAAATTAACAGCAATATACTGGTTCCAAATCTTTCAGCAGACATACTCTGCAACATTAGCAATAGAAATGTGTTTTGAAAGAAATTCTTCCATGACTCTTATCCTAAAATTCTGAGGTCCCACATTGGGCTATAGCAAGGTGTTTCTGGTGCTTCTGGGAAATAATCCCCTCGGGTAGATCCAGTAAAACTCAACCAGTACCGTGCAACAGTAAGAATACACTGTATTTCTTCCTCACAAATTCTATTATGTGGTCACCTCAAAGTGGTCAGTCTAAAAATCAGAATCTAGAAAAATAATTGCAATTCCGGGCATTACTATTCCTTCTATCTCATAATTTTCTCTGGAATAATAATAATAGTGACATAAAACTGGGTGATAGGGCTTCCCTGGTGGCGCAGTGGTTGAGAGTCCACCTGCCGATGCAGCGGACGAGGGTTCGTGCCCGGGTCCGGGAAGATCCCACATGCCGCTGAGCGGCTGGGCCCGTGAGCCATGGCCGCTGAGCCTGCGCGTCCGGAGCCTGTGCTCCGCAACGGGAGAGGCCACAACAGTGAGAGGCCGGCGTACCGCAAAAAAAAAAAAAAAAAAAAAAAGAAAAAGACAAATATGAGATCACTTATATGTGGGATCTAAACAATAATACAAATGAATCTATACACAAAACAGAGACAGACTCACAGACATAGAAAACAAACTTATGGTTACCTAAGAGGAAAGGTGAGGGAGGGGTAAATTAGGAGTATGGGATTACTAGATACAAACTACTACACATAAAATAGATAAGCAACAAAGATTTACTGTCTAACACAGGGAACAATATTGCATATCTTGTAATAACCTAGAATGGAAAATAATCTGAAAATATATATATACATATAACTGAATCACTTTTCTGTACACCTAAAACTGACACAATATTGTAAGTCAACTACACTTCCATTTAAAAAATTAAGAAAAAATAAAACAAAAAACTTAGCATTATATAATTGAATAAGTAAGAAGCTTATGACTCCACTTTATTTTATTTGCAAAAAGATGGTTCTTAAATTTTATTTATTCTCTTATATCATATAATTAACTTAGAGTCCTGGATGAAACAGAAAGCTCCTCGTTAAAGCAATAGAATTACTAGGTTCT